AGCCCCGCTGCCAGCCCGGCCCCACTCACGTCGGTGTTGCAGGAGCGGTAGCGTTTCCTCTCCCCCAGGCAGTACTTCCCTCCGATCGTGGGCCTGCCGAGGAGGGAAGGAGAGGCTGCAACAGCTCCGGGCAGGGTTTGGGGCTGGTGTTCACCCCGGGGAGTTTGGGGTGCTTGTCCCAGGTGGTTTTTCCCAGCCCTGCCCTGCYGTGTACCTGGGGCTGTCGCAGTGGCGCACGGATGAGGACACGCCACCGCCACACGTCCGGCTGCACTCGCCCCAGGAGGACCAGGACCCCCAGGCTCCGTCCACRCCCTCCGGCCGCGTCCCAAAGGGCACACACTCCCTCTTGTAGCACCACTGTGGGGACACAGAGCCCTGAGTGCCCCGGGGACAGGGGAACATGGGGCCAGCTCGGAGCTGGGAGTGTCTCTGATCCTAAGGGATCTGAACCTGGAGCTGCCCACATCCCATATCCCCTATCCTCTATCCCATATCCCCTATCCTCTATTCCATATCCCATATTCTACATTCCATATCCCATATCCCACATTCCATATCCCATATCCCATATCCCATATCCCATATCCCATATCCCATATTCCATATCCCATATCCCCTATCGCATATCCCATATCCTACATCCCATATCCCCTATCCTCTATTCCATATGCCACAGTCTACATTACACATCCCATATCCCACATTCCATATCCCATATTCTGTATCCCATATCCCATATCCCATATCCCCTATCCCCTATCCCCTATCCCACATCCCATATTCCATATCCCATATTCCACAGTCCATATTCCACATCCCATATCCAAGATTCCAGATCCCCTATCCCACATCCCCTATCCCCTATCCCATATGCCATATCCCCTATCCCATATCCCCTATGTCACATTCCACATTGCGCATCCCATATCCCATATTCCATATCCCATATCCCACATTTCATATCTCATATCCCATATCACACATTCCACATCCCTTATCCCATATCCCATGTCCCATATTCCACATCCCTTATCCCATATCCCATACCCTATATCCCATATCCCACATTTCACATTCCAGCTCTGCCCCAGCTGTGCTCTGAGCTGGATTTTGGGGTGATTTTTGGGCTCCTCAGCACACCCCATCCTCCCTCCGGGGCAGCTCTGGACTCCTGACAGGTTGCTGGGTGCCCCTAAATGAACTCCACCCCAACAATAATCCCGTTTCTGGAGGGGGGATCCAGCCCCTCGGTGCCGGCTGGCACCGTGCCCAGGGCTGCCTTACCCCCTTGTCGATGGTGTTGGTCTGGCAGATGGTGCCCTCGGCCGCGGGGATGCTGTTGGTGATGCAGCGGTTGCTTTTGCTCAGGCACCACAGCTCGCTGCACACTTCCTRCACGGGGGGAGGTTTGGGGCCAGGAGAGACACAGAAACCCAACCCAGATTAGGATGGGTGGGATATGGGGACACTGTGGGGAC